CAGCCGAACGTCTCTCCAGAGTGGTGGGTTCAATCCAGTGGGTCAATGCATCTGTGTTGTCTAGCTGTCCAGCAGACTTCTGGGAACTACCAGTGCATCCTGCTGGGACTGGCACTGACCGAAGTGGACAAAGGGACACCGTACTTGCTATGGGGTCTGGTGCCCCTCGCTGTCACGATTGTAGTCCCTCCCCCTTAAGCTCTTTCATGTCGGACTTGATTTTGTGCACCTGCCCCGTTTCAGCCTCCTTCCAGCCCCCCTTAAAAGCCAGACGCCCACTCAGTTCGGGGCTCTGCATTGATTCCCGTATCATGCGAGCCCGGGATCTGGATGCGCCTGGCTCCGTTATGGTTTTATTTTTCCGTTCCAGTTCCTGTTCCCCGCTGGTTCCTGTTTTTATCCTGTCTAGTCTCAGATGGACCACCCAGTTTTGGACTTTGCCCGTTTTGGATTTCCTGTTTGGACTACTTCTGGATTTTTTGCCCCGGACTCACCCCCCTGGACACCTGCGCACTTTGGACAAGCCCCCCGTTTTCATTCCCGACTCCTGCATGCCTTTTCCCCCTGTGTTTTCCTCACTCCACCCCGGATCGTGTCGTCTGCAAAGGTTCGCTACACTCGCAAAACAAGGACTGTGGAGCGCGAGTTGTACTCTCATCTGGTACAACACAGAGCGGGAGCAAGGAAGCTGGAGGAGAGGATCCTTGGGAACCATACAGGCAGGATGAAGCGTGACACAGCCAAATGGGTTTCTTTCTATGGAGAAGGAGCGCTGGAAAGGACTGTGGGCCCAGTCCAGGAAGAAGAAAGGGAAAATCCTATTTAAGAGATTGATATATGACCATCACCTGTATAAGACACTTTTAAAATGTGAAATATGTTCAACTTGAATTCCTTGTAAGAATCGTGTACAGAGTTGTGATAAAAGTTTATTTTTTAATTAAAAAAACAGTCGTTTTTGGCCTGTGGGAGGGAACCCACATGACCACAGGGAGAGCATTAAAATTCCACGTAGATTGCACCGCAGGAACTGGGAAGCAATGCTAGGAATGGAGATGCTTCTGGGAAGTGTAGTGGGGGTAGAGAATTCGTCTTTTCAAAACCAAAATACTTGAGTAAAAGTTAAAAGTATCCCCAAAATACAATACTTCAGTCAAGTACTTGTCTCAAGACAAATGTACTTAGGTAGTGTAGCAAAGTATTTCTGCTTCTTTACTTCACATCCATGGTATCTGGTGCCATTCCACTAAGTGCTCTTTATGTTACCAATAAATTCTTCAATTCTGTTTCATTAGTAGACAGTTACAAAGACATCAGATCCTTGTTTTTTGTTGTTATAGGTAAGGATCTAGCTGTTACTGCACATTCTCTCTATAAGCAACCCAGGACACAATGTGGCTTGTAAAACCTGTAATAGCACATTCAAATAATAAGTCTGAATGAGATTAAATCTTGAACTATTTTCTCAGTCCTGACACGTCCATTACAATCAAACATCTAAGGTAAGGAAAATAATGAGGTTTTACAAGCAAGGGCGTCTACCCCTGGCAATTCAATACGCTATAGTAATTACTATTAAGAGCTCTGTCTTCTCTTATATTTGGAATAGCCCTATTTAGGTGTGGGAGGCATACCTCGCAACAATATTTTAACAAAAATATGATTTGAGTGTGGTAGAGATGAAAAGACAATCTACCAAACTCAAATCATATTTGAGTCTGTGGCAATCGCTCTGCGCATTTCGAGTTTATCCCGCGGTTACTACTGCACTTCTCAAACAGTCCCCGAAAAGAGGGTACCAAAAACAGCTTAAACTCAAATCAAAACAGTTTTTGAAAGAGTACCTCCACTAGCCCAATCAATAAGTCTAGCACTGCCTCCTATATTATCAAGAGTCTTGTATTGTACCACTTAAATCACAACCGACATTTAAACGGCACTCCGTTAACAGCCCCTCCTCCCACCTCTGACCCGCTCGCTCTCTGGCTCCTTGCGCTTCACCTGCGCTCTCATTGGCCAAGGCGTCCATCGCACGCGGAAGACACGTTTGCGTTGATTGATGAGCCGAACGCCAATCAAAGGGCAGCATTCCGCTGTCAGGCTTCCGAAATAGGCTTTTCACTCGCTGCGGCAGGCCAATGAGGAGTGGGCAGGGGTGGGACGAGCAGTCATTTAGCAATCTGGTGCTGGAGTTGGTAAACAGCTTTGACCTCATGGTGCCAAACTTAAAGGAGAAGCAGACGGGACGAGGCTGTGTGCGGAGTTAAAATACGATCATTCGCGAATTCTGGTGGTAAGTTTGTAGTTTTTTTTTTGCCGATTTTTAAAATTAAGGTAGGATGCATTAAACATTCGCATTACAGAAATAAAGTCGCCGCGAGTTAATTGCTGCTTTTTTGTAGCATAAAGACAGTTGCTGAAGATCTTAGATGGCGAGCTCGTGTTCTGCAGAATGAGCCTTAAAAAAATGGAGGTTTTCGAGGAGTTTTGGCAACGTTGAGTTGTATCGCAGTGAGTTTGGTTGTACTGTAAGTTATCGAAGATTTTCTTTGTATTGTAACAACTGACTTATTAGTGGACATTTCTGCCTGATTTCCGAAATCTAAAACTCTTGCGTCTCTTCTCTCGCGAAGTCTATTTAACTTTGCTCTAGCGACCAACGCTGAAATTTCCGTAAATACAGTCCCACATCGGTCTCGACTTCGTGTCCAGCCATAAATGTGATTTGAGCCCGGCTGCCGTGTGGATTAATCACGGTGCCCACTTGGCTCCATGTGGGACGTGACGGGGTGCATGGTGCACTAACAACAACAACAACAGCAAATCGTTCTGGAAGCGCCTGAAAAAATTGCGAACTCTCCATAGTGCAACCAAGTCTTTTCTTGTATGCGTGAGTTGAAACGTAGTCACTGGAAAAAACAGTGATCTTGGGTTTTATGTCAACATTTGGAAAAAAAGAAAACTAAAATCAACATAACGCATCCATTGTGTAGTTTAATCAAAATGCAAAACAGTTTGTCCTGTCTGTTACTAATACGTACGTGTATGCCATAGTTATGCTTTTATGACGACGATGATGCAGCGGCTTCTTTAAAATAAACAGTGAGGTGATGTGGTGTTCATGTACTGTGCTAATCCACACGTGTTTCATGGGTGGCTGTAGCAACAGCTGTGGCATTCCCATTCATTTTCGGATACCAAAAAATGAAATACTGGATTTCAGCCTGCTGGTGGTAGAATGTGAGGTTTAAATTTCTCAGTCAAGCGTACCATGTAGGTAAGTTAAAGTACTTCATGTGTTTTCTAGGGCTGTTCGCATTTCTGCGGTCTATTCCGTGGGGCGTTTAGTCTGGGATAACTCTTAACTGAAAATGGCAATTAAATTGTGTTACAAGAGAAAATGACCACTTTCAAAGAAAAATTAAAAACGGTTATCTTTCGGTGATAGACTTGTCCTGTTTTGGTGGTAGTCTGCCAATCTCTCTGATACTCTCTGACATCAGAAGCCAGGTATCCCAATGTTTAAGGGAATGACTGTGGCTGAAGGTGATTTTCCGATGAAGTCAGTGACTAAAGCTGACATCAGTGTGAGTATTGCTGAATTACGTATTTTTATGTTGCTAAAGAGGTATTTCCAGTATTGCATTAATGCATCTGGAGGGCCTTTTGTCTGTGACATGTATTTTGTGGTTTGGGCATTTGTTACACACTGTATCCCATCACTAAATCTCCGTTTTCAGAACCTGCTTAGTCCAACACAACCCAACACAACGGGGTTGTGTTGAGCTGGAACCTAACACATCAGACATAAGGCAGGATATAGGGCATGACCCATTGTGGGGCACACATCTGCATATGAGGGGCATTTCAGAAATGCCAGTTAATAGACTGAATGGTTTAGTACTGTTGGAGTTCACAAAAACAGCTGCTGAATATCCCTTAGGCCAATGAGAAAGCATGCAGACTCCGCCAAGATGGTGCTTCTTACTGACATCAAACCGAGAACCATGAGCTGTGAGGCAGCAAAGCCGGCCTGACTCTTCTGCCCCACCTTATTGTGCTTATAAATTATGCATCTAACTTCTCACTCCTGTTCTTGCCTGGATGGCATTTAGCTGTGTCACAGATGGTAGTCTCTTAGCAGAAGATTCAATTAACACTAGCAGAACACTTATTTTGTCACTTACACATCTCTGTCAGCTGGAATGAGGTTTAGGGACTGAGTAACCTAAACTGACAAAGGAGTTTCCTGTGCCCAAATTGAGCTTCTGTATGATTAAGATTTAACCATGTTAAATTTTCCTGTTAAAGGATCACAAAGCCGCACCAGATAGAGAAGTAAGAAATTGCATCACTAGCTAAATTGAGAGGGAGATTTGGCTAGACTGTGCAAGCCAGAGAAGAATTTAGACAGGACGCTGGGGTTAACACCCTTAACTATATAAGTTCTAAACAAACTGGGGAACTGCAGTTCTAATTTCTCAGACCAGATAAATTAAATTAAAAATCTGTAAATTAATTAATTCAATGACGGTATAGAAAAAGTTTTGAATTAAGCACAAAATCGTGAATTTTGTGAAAGTACTCTAAGTCACCATGTTGTCGCATACCGCTGGTCTTGCTACAGGCATCAGCGAGAGTTTGTGAGAATTGCAGCCCTTCCTGCTCACTAGTCACTGTAATGACTAATGTAATGCGATGTACGATCGAGTAAGTACAGGTTGTGTGGCAGACACTTCAAAACCTAAATGTTCCAACACGATCTGCATGCAGAGTTAACAAGTAAGCAGTATTTGTCAGCAAATCTGTCTCAGAATTGAGGGGAATATTTCTATTGGATTAAAAGAGATGTATTCGCAAGCCTGTTTGTTTACGATGTAATAGGATCACTTCTCCTCACTGGATGTTTTGTTGCCAGGTTCTGAATCGCAGATCATGACCCTGCACGTACCTGGAAAGTAAATCTTATTTTGTGATGTAAATAGGAGGTTTTAGAAGTTACTGTGTATATTTTACTCTCATTGTAGTTTGAAATGCACTAATCAATGCTGGTTCTTTCTAACCCCGGAATATAAAAATAGTGTTGTAGTTCCCCTTTAATGAACTTAATTATAGGACTGATTTGAGTTCTTTAGACGTTTTCTGATCTTAAACTTTTTGAAGACTTTTGAATACTGGATTACATCAGTAACTTAAAATCTTCAACTTTCAAATTGGGGGGGAGTTTAACACGTTAAGTTCAGTAAATATATCAACAGGAACAAAAAACAGCAGGTGTGTTGGCCTCTAGTCCTCAAGGACCGGGGACCACCGTGGCAAAGGGGGGTCTCATCCTGGTACTGGGGGGATATTTTGACATCGACACGACACTCCATTTGTGACAGTTGATTGATAAAAGGACATAAAAGGCAAGAAGGTGAAAACTGTGGTCGGTCAGCCATTCTGAAAAATGATGTTTTGTAATTTAAATGCAACAAAGTGTGTAAATAGTGGGCTGAACTTGCCTGGAATATGTACAGGTGGGGCGCTGCGTCAGCATGTGTAGGCTGCAAAGGAACAAGTAATAGGTTTATTCCGTGGTGAAAAGAGAGGAAAGCAAACGCAACGTTTCGGCTGTGGAGCCTTCTTCGGGTGAAGCCTTCTTCTTCTCACCCAAGGAGGGCTGGAATATGCCTTGGACACACCTGCATGTGCCTATCACAGCTCCTTCCTCTGAAATACAGAATACGTTTGTCTGAGTGATTTGTTAATTGTTCGCTTTTCAACACAGTGTTCAGCATGTCGGTGATTGAGACAGCTACAGCTTCCCTTTCAGTTGTTCAGACCAAATGATCGCAGACAGGAGCCAGGGTCCATGCAGTGCAGGTGTTTCAGTGGCTGACGTCCATAGCTCAGAAACAGCATTACCTGTACTAGTGAACACGTATCAGTTTCAAGGCCTCAGTGTGGGGATAATTGCTTCTGTTATCCTAGAACCCTTTGTTACATTTTCACATGGAACAGTTAACAACCTCTTGCTCAGATCTTTCATCTATTAGTAATGCATGGGAAGATAAATTCTTTTTCGAATAAAAGGTCTGGATGCCGTGATAGGATGATCAGTTTCGGCAGAGATGACATTTTGGAAACGGCAGCATCTTGTGTTAAACTAGTTTCGGTCTTTGATGGTACACAAACACTGCCGGTCTAAGTTTAAAGCTCCGCATGTTAAAGACTGATTTTGTGGATTTGTGCCCAGAATCTGAGTTAAAACATGCTTAATGGGATTGATTAGGATTATTTAATATTTTCTTTTCAGGCTCTTATGATCAGAATACACTTGATTCATAGGTGGCCCTGTGCACTATGTGAGATCTGGGCAGAGTGCTTAAGGTTTTCCACTTCATGGAATAAAGAAAACGATGACAGCCGTGGACTTGAGAAGCAAGGAAGATCCTGGAGTGACCCAAGAGTACTCGAGCAGTAGTTTAGTACTTCGTAGTCTTTCTGTGTAGACTTGCTTGTAGCTGAGTCATGGCCTGGATGGAGTCTTGAAGCCTGAAGACCCATAGCTATGCATTAAATCTCTAAAGATTTTACTTAATGACACATTTCTTTTTTTCTTCTGTAGGATTGTTTTTTCGTGTAGCCTACTTTCTGCACCATAGCCGTTTGCTGTTTGTAACTACTATATAAGTGAGTAATTTTCAGATAGGTGATCCAGTTCATCCACCAATGAAGTGTAGTTCCCACTTGACAGTCATTATGTGCCAGCTGCCTCATTACAACAGACTAGGCAAGATCTGTCTTCATCTATTGAATTAAAGAGGGACAACCTCAGGATGGATTTTATCCCAGGGATGCAGGGATCTTTAATGATGAGATAGTCTATTCCATTTCTCATCTCAAAGCCAGCAGCTCCTACAGCATAGCATCCCTGGGCATCATACTGGGGCACTGGTTTGGAATTACCAGGACCAGAGGTATGAGCGCCACTTACTGGTCCACCAGTAGCACTTAGGGCAGTAGCCTGGTTTTCCCAAGAGGCCTTCCATCCCAGTACTGACCAGGCGCTGTCTTTCTTATTTTTTTAGATCTGTTGAGAAGTGGAATTGCTTCTCTTTTATTACAGTTCCACCCAAATTAGATCTGAAAAGGGTTCTCAGTGCTTAGCTGTCTAGAAAAGCAGGGGTAAAATAAATAGTTCTGTCTCAAACCCCCTTTTTCCCCCCACTCATTAGAAGTTTTAAATATTGCAATCGTAAACAACCTCAGGGTGAGAGAAGAAGGATAAGTAACAAGACGTGAAACATTAAAATATTTACCCCAGTACTCCTTTTAATTAATAGCAACAAAAATATAGTTGCATCCATTTTTATTAAAACATCAGTTTTCTAAATCACATTTTAGCAAATGTCTATTAAAGTGCTATTGTACCTAAGATTTTTAGTATGATCAAATATAAACACTGCAAGGTTAGAAGAATGTGTACAGCATAACAGTATGCACAGATCGGTGACTGGCTATATGAAGAGGTGGCTGTATTGTTCATTTTTACTGTTAAGAGCACAATAAATGCAGGGGACTAGAGGCCATATGGTTGGTCTATGCTGTTTGGTAGTATGAAGTTTGTCTGTGTATAAAGCCAGGTTATCATCATCAGCAACATGGCCGGACAGCTTGTTCTGCACACCCACAATCCTTTCTGGGAGTGTAAAACAAGCTACCCACAAAGACAGATTGTTCCTTCTTTAGTCTGTTAAAAACTGATTCAATTGACTCTACATCATTTTTCTTTTAATGATGATGCTTCCTAATAATCTTCTTTTTAGGGACAACGGTGCTGCTTAGCATGAACCATTTAATAAGTATAGCAGCTTGTTGTTCCTACTTAGTGGTGAGATAATGTTATCTGTCTTTCAGCAGTGTATTTTACAGTTTAAAAAAACGTTGTCAAGCAAACGCCAGGTTGTTTTTAGAACGAGGAGGTTTTGTTAAGGCATGCATGCTCCCCAGTAGAGAGGTGAAATGAAATTCCACACCTAAAGCAACTCTTTTAATTAGAGTGTCTGAAGTTCCCTGGTGTGTGTGCAGAGGAAGTTCTTTGAGAGGTAGATGGGAGCTGTACTTACTAATGTATTCTGTAGAATATAAGCCCTTTTTATACCATTCACCTTGTAAATCATAATTCCTCTTTTTGTATTTTTACGTGGGTCTGTATGTTTTATATTCAGAAGTGCAAGAATATTATTTGGAGTCAGCCTGCTCTGTGCAGAGTGTCTTAAAAGTCTGGTTGCG